TTCGTCGACGAGTAGAAGTGCGATGATGAGTAGAAGTCTATTGACGAACAGAAGTCTGATGACAGGGAGAAGTCTAACGTCGAGTAGAAGTACTATCCGAGGTTGTATGTCAGAATATTTGTTCGATGACATTAACTTGTGTGGAAGAGGTCGAGAGAATCTACCAAGGATGTAAGACCTATCCGAGGTTGTATGTTAGAACATTTGTTCAATGACATTAACCTGTGTGGAAGAGGTCGAGAGAATCCACCAAGGATATAAGACCTATCTGAGGTTGTATGTCAGAATATTTGTTCGATGACATTAACCTGTGTGGAAGATGTTGAGAGAATCCACCAAGGATGTAAGACCTATCCGAGATTGTATATCAGAGCCTTTGTTCGACGATGTTAACCTGTGTGGAAGAGGTTGAGAGAATCCACCAAGGATGTAAGACCTATCTGAGGTTGTATGTCAGAGCCTTGCTCGATGATGTTAACCTGTGTGGAAGAGGTCAAAAGAATCCACCAAGGATGTAAGATCTATCCGCGGTTGTATGTCGGAGCCTTTGCTCGACGACGTTAACCTGTGTGGAAGAGGTCGAGAGAATCCACTAAGGATGTAAGACCTATCTGAGGTTGTATGTCAGAGCATTTGTTCAATGACATTAACCTGTGTGGAAGAGGTCGAGAGAATCCACCAAGGATGTAAGACCTATCCGAGGTTGTATGTCAGAACATTTGTTCGATGACATTAACCAGTGTGGAAGAGGTTGAGAGAATCCACCAAGGATGTAAGACCTATCCGAGGTTATATGTTAGAGCCCTGCTCGATGATGTTAACCTGTGTGGATGAGGTCGGATCAAATCCCCCTAGGATTGATCATCCGGTGATTGAGATACAATATAGATTGTGTATTTCTCGAATCACGGTGAAAGAGTTTGAGAAGTTTTTTCTTATCTTTCATAAGAGAAAAAATCATATCACAATAACATGAACATTCTATTACTGCATTACACAAGATAGTACAATAGTTCCCTAGTACGACTTAGGGATATACAAATTACAAAGTATTCAACACACAAGATCTACGTATGGTGACAATACAACAACATTTAACTTGGAAGAATACATTAGAGATATCAAAGTGGTACCATACTCAATATAAAAGGGACAACAAGACAAGTAGAATTGCTAATACAAATCCGCTAAGTGCATGATCATGCAATCTCTCCAACCATTTGAATACTATTCAATTGTTATCTTTATAGTTGACTTTGCCCCCCAGCGGGACGAGCTTCCTCTCTGGTAGGTAAATCTTAAATAAATTGTCGATGGTAGCCCTGGTGGATAAGCCTTTCAATCTCATCCTTGAGTTGCTTGTAGGCTTCGGTAGTGTGACCACGTCTACGATGAAAGTGACAATACTGATCTGAATTTTCTGTGTTTGACTTCAAAGGGTTTGGCCATTTTATTGTATCTTGATCTCGAACGGCCATCAATACATTTGTTCGAGACGTATTGAGTGGGGTATACTCCTTCTCCTGTCGGGGCTCCCATCGTGGTGATGAAGACCTATGAGGTAGATTATTCTTCCCATGCTTTTTCTGTTGTGAGAAAGAATTATCCATCCCAGGTGCACCTTTGCGCTTCCCGCTTATTTGCTCAAATTGCTTCCTGTGAGCATTTATAGCTTCATCTACAGAGATTTGTGCCTCCACGCGATGGATCAAGTCAGCGTATGAATGGACGGTGTCTCGCATATGGTCCGAATAGAAGGGGCCAGGACGAAGACCTCCAAGAAGGACCCCTCTAAGTAATTCAGGGTTTACTCCTGAATCTGTCGTGCTTCAGTGGAAAATAGCTGAAAATACTCCTTCAATGATTCTCCCTCATTTTGGCGGATCCCGGAGAGGTGGGAAGAATCCTTAGCAATTCTTCGATTGGCCACAAATTGTTCGACGAATACTTTGGCCAATTTGACAAAAGAGGGGATCATTCCAGGTGGAAGCGAATAGAATCACGTTTGGGCCTGTCCTTTAAGGGTGGCGGGAAAGACCTGGCAGAGGAGCGCGTCTGATGCTCGTTGAATATGCATGATGGTTCTGTAGTAGTCTATATGCTCATACGGGTCAGTCGTCCCGTCGTAGGACTCAATGTTTGGCACTTTGAATCCGACCGGAATGGGGTGCTGAAGAATGGCTCAGTTAGAGGTGATGACTCATAGAAATTTCTCTGTCGAAGAGCATGCCTCACATCTCCTCGGGGGAACTCTTCCCATACCAATTTTTGCAGTTCGCGATGCAGGACATTCTGAGGGAGTTCCGCAATATGTGGTTGGGGAGAGCCTTCTGAGAGATCCAAAAAATTGCGAGGCTACCGAGTCGAGGGGGAAGGATGTGTTGAACTCGATGTATCGACAAGTTCATCTTCCAGTCGTGATTGAGGATGTCTCCTAGGTGGAGGAAGTGAATCTCTTCTTGATGATGCTCGAATTGAACATCTTCAACCCTTGGTGGATCCCGAGGGAGAAGGACCTAATGTCGGCTGTTGATCATCTCGTAGGAGTTGAAGGTTCTCGTTTTGAGATTCTTCCATCTTCTGAATTCTTTCTGCTAAAGAATGCCCCGAGGTCTCTTCTCCGGCAGCATTCTGCCCCCCAGGATGAAAAGAGGCAGACATCGGGCGCCTGTGATTTGCAGACAGATTTCTAGATTGGTGGGAGTTGGAGCGGGAAGCTCCAAAGATGCGACTGCTACGCCTGTTGACCATTGTAGCAATACTTGAAATTGTGGGATAGTGTTTCCCACATACGGAGCCAAACTGTTGCGTGCTAGAATATACGCGGCAGTAGAATTAGAAAATTTTCATCTTAGCATTGCACGAGTATTCCGCACACAAACAGAAAAGAGAAATGAATACCAGAGTTTTTACATGGAAAACCCAAAAAGAGAAAAAATCACGGGGCCTCGCCCAGTTGTAAAGTTCCACTAGTGTTTGTATGGAGTACAAAGTTGATCCGTCTTACAAATCAAGACGATCATTTTACAATCAACTTTTCATAAAAGTTACAAAGTTCTGCAAATTCCCGACGTTTCCCGAAAATTCAGCAGAGTTCCGACATCTTTGGGTGGCAGGAAGAGCTCCGGCGGTGGTCGAGGAGGAGCTTCTTCCTTCTCCTCCTTCTTCTCTTCTTATTCTCTCTCTTCACTTGAGTCCCCTTGGTGTAGAATGAGGGCTCTATTTATAATTTTTCTGGAGTTGCATAGCCTGTAAATAGGCGTGAGATCAGGGGCGAATTGGGAGTGTTTTGAATGGACGGCCGATATCGAATCCTTTGATCATGCACCGTTCGTTGGGTATTTGAAGGCCTTAGTGATGTCTAAGTTTGGCGATCTTGGGCTCATTGGATTCATCTTGTCGAGCTGTTCGATTCGAGTATAAGCTCGTCAAAATCGGAGACTGTTTGGTAACTCAAATTGCGGTTTGAACCTTCCAACAGCGCTTCGGGTCCTTGATTCGGATTTATTTGGGCTCGGATTGGGTTGATCTTGGTGTCGTTGGGTTCGTCTTTCCGAGACACTCAGTTTGACTGTAAGCTCGCTGAAATCAGAGTTCATATGCTCTCGAATTTAATTTTTGAAGTTTCCAAACTTATTTTGCCTCGAGATTCGTGCCCAATCAAGATAATTTTGTGATGACGTATCATTCTTGATGATTACACTCTATATATTCAATAAAATGCAACTGAATTCATTTTTATATTATTGAATCAAGCTCTATTTAATAACTCTTTATAGCATCTAAATCGATGAAATGAATTAATACATGATTTATTCTGCAATTTCAAACATAAGGATTAAATAATAACCCATATATCCAATAATTCTATTATCAATAAAATTAAGCTCAAATAAATATGAGAAAATTATTGGGGATAGCTTATATCATGTAATTCAAAATAAAAAATTTTTAAAGTTAATTGGATTAATATTTTAAGAATAATTAATCAAATTAAGAAATATGTATAATTGAAATTATTCATTAAATAGTTAAAATCATAACTTCATTTTAATTTTAAATGGAAGAGGATTTCAAAATAAAACAATGATATATTATTTACTAATTTTTGATAAGAATTTAAATTTGTATAAATTTTAAAAGTTTTTATATTTAAATCCATTTAATTAACCTATATTAATTAAATTTTCAAACGGTGGCGTTATCAAAATTAATGGCCAATGATTGAGTGGCAGAAATCATTGGATTTAAATGCATTACAGAGGCAGCGACTGATGCATTTTACTTATTTGCGTTAGTAGTGGCTACGCACTATTCAATCTACTACCATGGTTTGACGTGTAGAAGGTGACGGGGGCTCTGCTAGGGTTTTTTTCTTCCCGCCGCCACCTTTTCGGCTTTTTGCTCTTCCCGCCTCCCCTCCGGCGTCTGCCGGAGGGAATCTCCTCTTCTTTTCTTTGCTACCTCCTCCATGGAGCTCTCTGCCATGGATTTTCCCCCTTTATCCTCGCATGCAGGAGGTTCCTCTTCCTCCTTGGCTGCCCGGAACTAGAAGAACATTATTGTGGATGCTGATCCTGTTTCCAAGGATCTTCCGCTTTCCTTTCTCCCCTTGGAGCCTGAAATTATTCCTTTTGCTGGGGAAAGACTTGTTAAAGGAGCTGAGAACTGGAACTTATGCCTGGTTGGATACTCGATCGGTAGGCGTCCTTACTATGAAGCTCTGTTAGGCGCTATCAGGAAAACTTGGACGCTAAAAGGTTCGCTGCAACTTCTCTCACTTTCGGATGGTTTTTTTCTCCTTCGTTTTACCACGATGGAAGACTATGAAATAACATGGTCAAAGGGGGTGTGGTTTTTTCTTGGTAGACCTTTTCTCTTGCAGACGTGAAAACTTCACCTCCATACCCATCTGGGTAAAAATCCATGATCTCCCTTTGGTCTGCTGGAACTCTGAAGGTATTTCTCGTATTGCTAGAAAGATTGGAATTCCGCTAGCCATGGATGCTCTCACTGCTCAGCGAACCCGTCTTACCTTTGCTCGTGTCTGTATTCAAGTCAATGCAGATGCTACCTATCCTGAAGAAATTCTGATTTCTATTGAGGAAGATGTTTTTAGCTTAAAAGTCCAGTATGAGTGGAAGCCCTCTCCTTGTGAGCATTGCAAATCCCTGGTTCATTCCAGCGCCACATGCCCCTCCAAGCCAGTGACTGATACCTTGAATAACTCTTCTGCTCCCTCTACTTCTAATGCACCTCGCGGAAGGAGTAAGAGCAGAAGGCCTCAAGGTAAGACTGCCCTTTCCTCTATCATCCCACCTTCAACCCTCCCTTCTTCTGTCATTCTGTCTGAACATCAGCCCATTGTCTCTAAGCCCGCCACTTCTACTCTGTTACCTCCTATGGTGCAGAATATTCCATCTACATCTTCTCTGCCACCTAGCCGCATACATGAGAGAAGGATAGAAGTGGCATCATCCATATGATGTAGATAAGCAAGATTTATAACCCCTGAAGAATAGGGAACTTACCCACCGATGAAGCATGCTACGAGACACCGATAGTAGCAGCCGTGAATCCTATATCTAAGATGGGTTTACTGTTCTACACAACACTAACACCCATGTCCTAGCTAATGCATTATGGGCTTATATCTTGCTTGAAAAGGAAAGCCAGCTAACCACATAAGCGCATAAAATCCATGCTGTCCAGTCTTTATGAAAGATGGATGGGAGGTTGAGTTTTTGGAAGGCCAACGTCTCGATGTTTCCTAATTAGCCTTGGACATATGTAAGGTGAATGCTTACAGTGCTAATACAATTAAATTTTAATTTAGTTAGTATTGACCTTAATTTTGCCAAATCCCTAGTTCTATAGAGTTGACTAGGTCAAATTGACCAAGCCAGGTCTCAAAACCACTCCCAATCAATTTAGTGGGTCAAACTGAGTCTGTTGAGCCCAGGCCCAAGCCTTAGGTCAACTTGGTTGACCAGGTCAACCAGGGTTAGGCCAAATTGACCTAATACCCTTTCTCTTAATTTCAAATGCATTTCATGGCTTCTAGACTCAATCTCTCACCTCCCTTGGGTTCCATGGGTCAGACTAAGTTCACTGAGCTCAGACCCATATCTTGGGTCAACCTAGTTGACCAAGTCAACACATGTTGACCCATTGAGCCCTAAGGGGTCCAATTTAATTTTAAAATAATTCAAGTCCATTCAAACCTTACTTTGGCTCAAACCCTTTACCCCTTGGACCTAATTGACTAGGTTGACCAAGTCAACCCTTGGTCAACCCATGTCTCTATTGGTCAATTTGGACCTATTTAGGTCAAAATAATGACATTTAATAGGTTTAATTGATTTCTATGCATCCCTAATTCAAAACCACAGCCTAAATAGCCTGGTTTCCCTCCTATTTGGCTATGGATCACATCCCAACTGTCCATGGTAGGTCTAGAAGCTCTAAATAGGAGAAATTTAGGGTTTAGGAGGGACTTTTGATTTTACTCTCTCCATATGCGCTTTTATTCTGAGATATTTCGTGTGAGAGCTCCCTTAGGATCCCTCTCCCTTCCACAAGCCAAACTATGTTGGTCAAGGCCTTCGCCGGCGAGATCTCCTGCGACTCGTGACCATAATCCTTCCAAGGCGAATTTCGCTTGATCCAAGGCATTTTAAAGCTCGAGTTCAACTAGGAAAACATACGAGGACAGTCTATAAGCTCAATTGTATGAAGATCTTCCAAATACACCGTGTGGATTAGGTAAAAACTCAAACCCTATACTAGAGCACTTAGATTTAGCATGTTTTAGATCACGATTTTGTTCTCCCAAGAATGCTCTTCATACATAGATACTGTGTTTCAAATTTCATTGATTTTGGTTGAGCCGTCTATGAGAACGAGTCAAAAAATATGTTAGTGTTTTGGTGTACGTCTGGCTCGCATGGCAGGAGATCTCGACCGTTGATTCTAGAATCAATGGTTTAGATCGCGTTGTTTTGCGCTCTCGTCCGACCGCATGTATCGATTTGCTATGGCTTCTCATCATCCGGTGAGATCTGGGCCGCCAGTTTCAAACCATAAAGGATCAGATGGCTCCACACCTGCGTCTGATGTGGTTAAGCCACAGGCGTCGATTTCCGCGCCGCAATTATGGGAACGAATCCCAGCCGGCCACTTGGCCCCGCCGCCACCGCTGCCATCGTCATTCTTTTTAATTAAAAATTAGTTTTAAATATATTTTTAAATATTTTTTAAATTAGAAACTTAGAAAAATTATTAAAAAATTATTTTTGATCCAAAAATTACGTATAATATATTGAATAAATTTTAGAAACTCTATTATTTTAACTTTTGTTTCATTTATTAACTATTATTAAATATTAATTATTTAAAAATTAGTTTTAAATAGCTTTTAATCATTTTAAACTCCAATAATTCATAACTAATTCATTTTAAACCTGTTCTTGATGCATAATACCTTGAAATTTTCAAAAAATATGTATTTTAATGTAAAATTATTTTCAGAAACTAATTTTGCTATTTCTAGCTGATTTCTTTATTAATTGATTATTTGGTTATTTAATTACTATTTCAATTATTATCTTAATTATTTTGAAACTAAAAATTATTTTTAAATCTTTTTTTTTTGAAACCTCGTTAAGGTGACCAATGGATCTTCCGTATAATTATTTATTATAAATTGATGTATTTTTAATTACATTATTTTCCGGAATCCATATATTTATAAGTATTTTAAATTATTTTAAATTCCTTAATTTTGGGAGATCCACTCCAATGAAATTTTAAGCATAGATCATTCATATGGATAGCATTTATGGGGAAGTGAATTAGTGAATGATTGAGTCTCAATCATTCACTAATCATATTGTTAATCTTGCTTAGTCTTTCCTTTATCTTATTTTACATGCGTAGGATGCACGAGCACCTAGCTTAGGCTCTCTTATATCTAAGGACATGATGTGTTTACTATTTTTAATGTATCCCCTGTATTCTTACCTTGAGGGTTAGTCCAAAACTCATGTTTAAACCTATACAATGTAGTGATACCCTAAGGACAATAATTAAGGACATGCCTAGCAAATTTAAAAAAAATTTATGAACTATAATAGATCCCTAATTGACATGAAAAGTTCAACATTCAAACTTAGTGACATCTTGAACCTTTCAAAATTTTCTAGGATTTTTTAGGACTCTGTAGACCCCTTAATTAACAAACCATAATCTACCCGTTAATTAGGGTCTGATAACTTCTAAAAATTATAATAAATCCATTTCAACTCAAAAAATTACTCATAATATCTCCAAATCTCTAGAATTCAATCCCTAGCCTTAGATAATTAGGGCTCCTTAATTTGACTTCAATCTGACCCTTAATTTTAACTTTAATTAAAAATTATATTTTTGCACTTTTTAGATAATTAAAAATTATTTAAATTTCAAAATTTCCCTAAACACTTGGGAACACCTTCTTGGGCCATTTTTTACCTTTGGGGATGATTCCAATTAGTTTGGAGCTAATTTGGATCAAAACCTTAAAATCACCCATAATTAGACAATTTTAATAATTCCCTTAAATGCCCAAAACTTTGAAAATTTATATCTTTTCCTAGGAAGCTCTAAATCTAGTAAACTCAAAGCTAAATTACTGATTATAAGGCTTATTATTTACTTAAAATGCTAGATCCCCCAAACTTATCCCATTTTTTATAGTGACATTTTGGACCCCCTCATCATAGCACTTAAGAAAACCCGGGACTTTCCAAAATTGGCTAATATAACTTAAACTTCAATTACCACGATCCTAAGTATTAAAATGGATCAAAAAACTAAATTAACTAAAATAGATCCTAATTCACTAATATTTCCACTTTAAATAAAGTTTCCTTTTTTGGCCTTCAACAAATTCTAACCTTAGGCAACTTGAACTAATCATCCTAGCCACATTGGCCTTTACACACACATAGAATTATTTCTTAGGGTATAACTTCTAGTCTTAGGCAAGGTCAGTGTTTACTTTTGTACTATATGCCAGGCTTTCTGAGGTTTTACTGCATGTTGTGAAAATTGATTCTATGTTTGTTTACTTTTACTACACTATAAGAATTAATTTGATTGTATGTTAGATGTACCCATAAGTTAGGATTGATATTTTTATACTAATAATGATTGCTATAGGTGGTCATGCTCATGTAGTGCTAAATAAAAGGGGGGCCATTGTAATAATTTAAAAATACTAATAATGTCTTGTGCAGGTGCTTCAGGAATTGCTCAGCCCACCTAAATAAATGAGGGCTAAAATTATAATTATAATTACTACAGGTGCTCTAGAGACTGTTTAGCCCTCAAAATTGATTAAGAGCATGGCCAAGTGTGTGGCTGTGATGTGTACTTTCATTCCATATAAACAGCTTGGGATTTTTAATAGGATAACCTTGCAGGAGAGTCTAGAATTTATTGCTAGAACGCATCCTCAAAGGGGAGAGTCTTCTTCCATTTGGAAGATCAGGTTTGGATAGCTTTTAGATATCTAAAGAGAAAATACAATACCCAATATCCTACTCAAAGTCATTTACGTTAGTCCTAGGCTTACGAATTCGGGTTGTTGGCAGTGGTGCCCAGCCACTTTATTTTTTATAAACCCTAGTTTGTAATTAAGGGTAGTTGGCCTATGGATATTTATTAATTAGTTTGATTATTTTGATGTATTTATAAATGTTTGCCTCTAGGGTTACCTGATTTTCTTAGTTTATTAGCGATTTGCATGCCATTTTTATTTTAGCTTGGATTTTATTAGGCTCTCTAAGGACTAAATCTTTTCTACTCGTAATTAATATTTAAAATTTTAAGAATTAAATAACATAGAATCCTAACGACCTAAGAAACTGTCAGAATCATCTAGGGTTGCATTCATATTAATATGATTTTCTCTTTCCTTCTAAAGAGACACTTTCCTGCCTGTGGGTAGAGTCCGAATAATCTAGCCTATGAGGATGAAGAGCCAGACTTGGGGAAATCTAGTCTCCTTCAAAAAATTATTTTCTATAAGCATGTTTTTTAAAGTCTTATGCATACATGATTTGGATCTTCTAAACTAGCATGCATTACGTTAGAAATCAATTAAATTAAAATTTTAATTGCATTAGCTTTAGGAGCATTCACCCAATATAATTATAAGGCCAATTAGGAAACTCTCTAGATGTCGGCCTTAATTTCCAAAAAACTAATCCACCCAATTATCTTTCATAAATGATCTGACATCATAGTTTTAATCAATTAGGTGGTTAGCTGACTCCCCAATCTAGGCCGGGGTAAGTCCAGGTTTTGTACTGCATTATTTAGGATACGGGTATTAGTGTTATTCATAGAACACTCAACCCAAGTTAGATTTAGGATTCAAGGCTACTATATTCGGTCTCGTAGTATACATAAATAATGGGAAAGTCCCTTCTTTTCAGGGACT